CCCGGCCGCTAAAACAAAGGCGAACTCGAGAAAGTCGGAACCCACTGCCAACGGAGCAACAGCAGAGTCTCCCTCCAATCCCTCCTCCTCCTCCTCACGCACCCAAGTCAGCGATGTCGTCCGTGCTCGCACCCATGTCAACCAGGACGGCGGCGTGCAGAAGCTCTGCCACCAGCACCACCAACCCTGCAAGGGTGCACTCCTCCAGTGCACCTTTATGCGCGCTCCGGGCAAGCGCTGCCAGGTCCGATACTGCTTCTCCTCCCTCCGCCGCTTCTACGACCAGGACCCAGAGACCATCGTCAAATCCAATCGTATGATGGTCAACCCCGCAGAACACTGCCCGCCCACCGAGGCAAAGTACGCGTGGAAGTGTCCGCGCTGCCGCAAAAAGTGCGACTGCGCCACCTGCCGCAAAGCAGCCGGCCTCGAGCCTCTGGGCAGGTGGGGCGGCTCCGTCAAAACTTCCGACTCCACCAAACCAGCAGAACCCAAAGCCGCCAAGGGCAAAGCAAAGGCCCAAGACGATGCCGCCAAGCCTGCCAAAGTCGCCGCTGCCAAGGGCGCCAAGGGTGCCGGTGCCAAGGGCAAGGAGCGCACGCTTGCCGAGGCTGTAGCCGCTGCACACAAGAACACAGGCAAGGCAAAGTCCAAAGCCAGCTCCAAGGCCAACGGAGCAGATGAAGACGACGGCATCCACACGCCCCCGCCGCAGGGTTCAGCGCCTGCTGCCAAGCAAAAGAATGCCCTCGCCTCCATCCTTTCCGGAGGCAGCAAGGCACCCATCCTCAAGACGCTCAAGCCTCCTACCGAGGTGCCACCGCCGGTGTTTGAGCTCATCTCCACCAAGCTGCCCGAGGACAACATGCGCGCGCGCATGTGGATCTACGAAAGCATGGTGCGCTTCGACAAGTTTGGCCTCAACCGCTCCGTGCTGTCGCAGCTCGACAAGTTTGAGCACTGGACGCACGCCATGGTGCAGGACATGCTCGCCTGCCTGCTCAAGACCATCGCCGGCCTCACCAACATCGACAAGGGCCACCCCACCAAGCCGTTCGTCAGGGCCATCACCTCTTTCCGCACACACGGCAAGAGCCTTCAGCGAGGCGAGCCGTGGGCGGCGGCTACCGAGCTACTCGGTGTACTCGGCTTGGCCCGCACTCCGCTGCCGCACGTCGAGCACGACATCCCCGTCGAGGTGGAAGCAGCAGCCGCCGAGCGTTCGCCATCGCCGCCAGCCGCACGTGTCACGCGAGCACGCCGCGCCAAGGAGAATCGTCAGTACGACATGGCGCGCCAGCTCTCCATGCTCGATGAGTGGGAGGCTGAAGAGTTTGGCGAGGCCGGCGCTGATGACGATGACGATGACGATGCGCCGCGCGGCAACGGACGCGCTCGAGGCTCGGCGAAAAAGTCGATCTACGTGTACGATGATCCGAGCGACGACGAAGACAGCTTAGCCGATCCAGACGACAGCGCACGAGGGCGTCGCTCGGGCCGCGCTCGACGACCGGTGCAAAAGGAGCCCACGCCCGAGGTGCGCCTCACGGGTCGACAGCAGGCCATCCGTCTGCAGCAGGAGCAGCAAAAGGAGGAGGCCGAGCAGGCGGCCAAGCAGGAGCAGCAAGACAAGGAGGCCTCGGGATCACGCAAGCGCTCCAAGCCGTCTGGTCTCGACGCCGATTCCGACTCGGCTCTGAGCGATGCCAACTCGGACGACGGCAGCGCAGGCGAAGACGAACACGAGAATGTCAACGGCCGATCGAGCCGTAAGAGGCGCAGGACGGCGGTGGGAACCTCCGACGATGAAGCCGAGCAAGACGGCGAGCAGCGTCCGGGCAGCGTCAACGGCAAGTCGGAGGCCGACGTCTCGATGGAAAAGGACACGCGCGAGATGGAGAGCCCGGATCTCGAGACAAAAGTGTCGATCCTGAGTGCGCTCATCGACGCGGCCGTCATGGCGGACGGAGTGTTGGACGAACTCAAAGCTGCCCACGACAACATTGCGGCGCAGGAGCGCACCAACAAGGCGGCCAACGCCGACATGGAGAAGGAGCTGGCCGAGGAGCTGGCCGAGCTCAACAAGCGCGCGCCGAGCATCGTGTCGCCCAAGTACCAGGCGTGGAAGGCGGAGAAGGCGGCGCTGGAGCACGACCATGCATGGCGACGGCTGGATGCGCGCGTCACCTCGGAGCTCACGGTGGATGTGCATGCGATGCGCACGGGTCCGCTCGGATACGACGTGGATGGCCGCGAGTTCTGGCATCTGCGCGAGTACCAGGAGCGCATGCCCAAGTTCACCGAGGGTCGATACGCGTGGTGCCTGGTGGTTCTGGGACCTGCCTTTCCCGTTGATCCTAATCAAGCAGCAGCAGCAGCTGCTGCAGCCGAGGCGGAGCAAGCCGATGCCAACGGAGAGACTAGCGCGTTGCAGGACTGCAAGGATGCGGCCAAGGACGAGGGCGACGATAGCGGACTGACGTCGCTCGACGAGTCGTCGGATGCAGCCGCCGCCGCCGAGGCAAGAGATGGTCGGCTTGGGCTTCCCACGTCGCTCGCGCCCAGCAACGGCGTCGAAAAGGAGAAGCGCGCACTTGAGTCGAGAGAGACAAGCGAGCGCGTGTGCATGGGCGCCAATGCGCCGAGCGCGATCAAGGCGCTGATCGAGTACACACTGTACCGGTTGGATCGCGTCGAGTACGAGGAGAACGTGGCGATGCAGGAGCGCGAGCGCCGCGTGCAGCTCGCCAAGGACGCCGATGCGCCGGCCGACGACTCGGAAGTCGAAAGCATGTACAGCCTGCGCAAGGCCAAGCAGGCACTCAAGGACACGCAGGAGGAGCGACGCACGCAGGTGGAGCAGCTCGTCAAGCGGCTGCACAAGTCCAAGGAGTACTTTGCCTGGCATCGCGAAGAGCTTGCACCCTGACTTCGCGCGACGTCACCATCATCCCTCACTGCCATTCTCAATGCACGTTCTTGCTTTCACGCTGTGGTATCATGGGCGAGAAAGGGTTTGGAAAGGGTCTTGAGGGTGATACAGGGCTTTGTATTGGGAATCGCTTATGACGGGCTAGGGTGGAAAGCTCTATCTTGGCGAGTGTGTGCGGGGAAAAAAAGGGTCTGGAAGGCTAAAAGTGGAGTGTGGTGTCGATGACGTCTGGGTGCCTTGAGCCTCTCGTCTCGAGGGATGTCGATCAAAGCACGCCATGTGCCTGCGAAGCCGCGAAGCCGCGAAGCCGCGAACCCTGAAGGAAGAGCGAGGAGGTCGAATTTCACACTCTCTTTTCGAGCGAGGGAAAGGGAATCTCCTTGCAGCCTTGGGGCGCCTCGAGGAAAATCGGTTGGGTTTGTCGGTCGCATGAATATATGTAAAGGGGGGCAGTGCGGGTGCCACTTTAGCTGCACACTCTGCAAAGGTGGATAAGATGCTCTTTGGCAGCCTATCATATTGTCCAGTTGAGTCGAGGTGGCTCGGAAGCGCCCGTCGCTGTCAAAGCACTATCTTTCGACAGCCTATCCGTCACAAAACATGGTTGAGGGTGGGAGCGATGACTCCACCTGCAGACGGTGCGGACGGCTTGGATGTGGCTGAGATGAGCGGACGAGCGAATGTGATGGCCGCCAAGCCCGCATGGGTAGCTGCGGTCGTCGGATATTCCCGACACGCCTGCACTCTGCGAGTCTCTGCCGCTCTCCACCCGTGCATGGGCGGTCCCCCAAGCCCGTTCTCCCAACTCGAGTCAGCAATCCCACCGCGATAGTGAGAGCGGAGCGTTCAAGTGGTCGGCAGCATCCCGACGTGCTCCAGTGCGGTACATGCATGCCATCCGCATGCACAGAGCGGCTGCTGACTGCCGACTTGCCGGGCGGACGCGCAGCGTGGAGGTGCCGACGCTGACCGTGCGAAAGGCGGCGATTTTGAGCGGAGAAGCTCAAATCGCGACCTCTACGCACCTTCCCACCCATCAACCGGCTTGGCTCCGACTCTTCATCCCTGCTCGATCCTCCTCCCCCCCTCTCGTCTCGATCACACCCTCATCACCTCCGCTCCGTTCCATTCGGACCCGTTCCGCACCACAACACCATCCGCACACGCTCGGCGCCCACTTGCGCTCTCCCTCCTCGCTATCGGCCCACCACACTCTTGGCCACTCCGCAGTCGTCTGCATCGCCCACTATCCTCATCCTCATCCCCGTCGTCTTCCAGACCTTAACCCTCTCGTCGCTAGTCGAGCATTTCCACCTATCGCAATACCAACCGGGCCATCTCGAGCCCTCAGCCAGACAGTCACGCTAATCGTCTCCTTCGCCGCCTCCCATATCCACCCATCTCATCCTCAATGTCGGGCGTCTTTGGTCAAGGTTGCAGATACACTGAATACCAAGACACCAGCCAGCCTAGCTCTGCCTAGCTCTGCCTAGCTCCACCTCGTCCTATTCTCACCCGCCTTGACCCGCAAGCCAACTTATCGGCATCGCCTCTGCTTGCATCCACCGTCCGCATCGCATCGCAACGCATCTCTGCTTCCACTCTAGCCTCGCAAAGCTACTATCGCTCTCGGAAGGCGCACCTCGCTCCGCTTGGCCACCGCCATGCCGCCGCCTTCCTTTTCCCACCAAACCGCCGTGGTGCTCCCGCGAGCGGTACAATCCTGGCTCAAGGAACTCATCCAAAAGATCCGCTCGGCACTCACCGCCAACGACGAGATCAAGCGCCATTCCATCCTCAGCGCAATCGAGGCTTCCGTCGAGGAGCACGCCCAGTCGCTCAAGAGCGCAGCGCAGGCAGACGAGGCCAACCATCCGCCCGCAGCCGGCCCCTCGCCCACCGCTCAGATCAAGTCGCAGGTCTCGCTCCGCATCAACGATGCCATCCAAAACATGCTCCAGGGCGAGCTGGGCGCGCAGCAGGACGAAAAGCTGCCCGCCCTCGTCGACGTCCTCTTTGTTGCCATGCCCCTCTTGGGACCCACATCGATCGTCATGGAGTGGTGGGACCTCGTCCTCCACCCCCTCCTCAAAAGTGCATCCATCCAGAACATCACCGCCAATCGTGCACGCGAGCTCGTCGTGCGCGCCATGGCCGCAGCGCCCACAACCGCATACGAGGACGAGCCGGCGCCAGTGGCAGTTTGGCCGGCGCCCGCTTCAAGGCCCACCGATGCACCCGAATCAGCGAAAGCCTCTCCCATCCCTTCCACAAGCCCTCGACGGGCCCGCGAGACTCCCTATCCTACATCCGCCACCATGCCAGCTTCCTCTTCACCCTCGCGTCAACCACAGCGCAGCCCCTCTCTCACCGCACCATCCGCCTCCGCAGGCAGATCCGCCTCGGTCGGTTCGCGTCAAGACACCTTCCGCCGCTTCACACAGCGCATCCTCGACCTCTACCTCGCCGAAGCGGCGCACGAAAGCCAGCAGCTCCGCTCCGAAGATGCGCGCCCGCGCAGAGGCAGCGCTCCCGACCTCGCCATCTCGCGCGACCTGAGCGGCAGCGGACACCTCCTTCGCGACCCCGCCACCCTCGTCTGGAAGGGCAACCTCGAGTCCATCCTGCTTGTCTACAGCAACCAGAAGCCCAAGGAGTTCTTTCACCACATTGCAGAGTCCTTCTCTGAGCCCACCGCACGCGTGCCCCTCCTCTTCCTCCTCTCCACCTTCCTTCGCCTCTATCCGATTCATGCCTACCACATCACCGCCACCGCTCTCCCACGCATGCTCATCCTCTCGCTTCAGCTCGACACCTCCACCACCTGCGTCTCACTCGGCGTCACCGCTCTCATAATGCTCATCCCGCACATTCCCAACTGGATCGCCAACGGTGGCGCAGGTGGCCTTCCCACCCTGCTCAGCATCTTTGCCCGCATCGTCGACTGGAGGCGCCTCGGCAACGGCTGGGAGACCCGCATCGGCGACGATCCCGAGCTCGCCGAGCTGCGCAGAGAGAAGGACGAGGAGTTTGCAGAGATGGACCGCCTCGGCAAGCGCCTCAACATCAAGCCCGCTCTGCGCTGGAACCGCCTCGAGTCGTCCTTTGACACGACCATGTCCAGTCCGCCCAACGCAGAGCACCTCTTCACCTTCCTCTACGGCCTTTTCCCTTGCAACATCATCCGCTTCCTGCGCTCGCCCGTCGACTACCTCCGCAAGGCGTCGTTCGACAGCCCCTTTGAAGGACCCTGGGAAGAGATGATGGACGAGGTCGCCGTTCAGACACGCGCCAGCCCCATCCTGCGTCGACACACGCTTCACCCCGCCCTCATCACCCTCGACGCCGAGACCGAGCTGACTGACAAGCAGCGCTGGCTCGACCACGACTCGGCCGACATCAATGCAGAATGCCTCGGCCTCTTCCTCGGCAAGTGGCACGACGTCAACCCTTCTCACATTGTCCAGGCCGAACGCCAGCGCAACGGCTCGCTCGACAATGACGTTCCGGACGACGAAAGCATATTCTCGTCCGAAGCGAGGCTCGGTCCGTTCGATATGGGCCGCCGCCGCAGCGCAGCCGCCCTCATGCATCCGTCATCTCCCAGTGGCTCGGCGCACCGCCACTACCAGAGGGTGCCGCACTCGGTCAACCCGGATGACATTCTGTTGACCTACGCATCGCTGCGGTCCGGCGCACCGCTCATGTCGGCCACGGTCTCGGCGCAGACGCCCAGCTTCGATGCTTCGCCCGCGCCGTCCCTGTTTGGCAGCGTGACACAGCCTCTTACGGCGGCCGCTCAGCGTTTGGACGACTCGATCGGCCCGACGGCGGTCCCGCAGGCCAAGGCACCATCCTCGTCTTCGGCCATGACGGCGAGCGGCACGCTCTCGAGGTTGCTTCCAGCTGCAAGTGCTGCGGCTGCTGCGACACCCGCCATCATCACCGCCGTTGGAAGTTCCAGCGCTTCTCACATGTCCATCCCCGCCTCGCCGGCCACCCATGCCGCGCATGCCTCGATCGCACGCGTACGCTCACGATCCGGCTCGCTCTCGTCGGTGCTGTCGAGCAGCTCGCCCAGCCCGGCCACGCCGACCTCGCCAACCCTGCCAGGTCGCCACCCGCTCGCGTCGAGCCATCTTCCCTCGGACCCGCTCACACCGCAGCCGGAGCCGAGGGAGAAGCAGGCATTGGCGGTCCCACCTTTTGCAGGCTCCTCGCTCGAGGCGGGNCCCGCTCACACCGCAGCCGGAGCCGAGGGAGAAGCAGGCATTGGCGGTCCCACCTTTTGCAGGCTCCTCGCTCGAGGCGGGAAGCAGCGACGCTTCCATCATCTCGTTCTTGCAACGAGAGAATCTGCTGCTGCGCAACGAGCTGAACTTTGAGCTCTATCTCAAGGAGCAGCACCTGCGCCATATCGGTCGCCTTCACCGCGAAAAGGTGACCGATACCGCGCTCGAGGCCGAGCGCCAAAACCTTTATCACACGGTGCGAACGCTGCGCACCACGAACGCGGCTCAGCATGCCGAGTTGGAGCGCTGCCGCGCGGAAGCGGCATCGACCAAGGCGCGGCATGTGCAGTGGGAGGCCGACCTGAACAACAAACTGCGTGCGTACCGCGAAGAGCGCAAGGCATGGACATCGGAGGCGCGCGAACTCAAGGCGCAGGCGGAAGAGGACGCCGCCAAGATCGCCACGCTCACGCGGCAGCTCGAGGAGACGGGCGCGCAGCTGTTCGAGCTTCAGACCAAGATGGAGGCGGACGAGCCCAAGCTGGCCAAGCTCGAGCAGTACGAGGCCAAGATCGCGCAGCTCACCTCGTGCCTGGCGTACTGGGACAACGACGTGCTCAAGTACGAGCAGCAGCGCAACGAGATGGAGAAGCTGCTCAACAAGTGGGACGAGATGGCGTACCTGGTCGAGTCGACCGAAGCGACGCTCAGCGAGGTCGAGCAGACGTGTTCGCGGCTCGAGGCCGAGAACGAGCGGCTCAAGCAGGAGCTCAACACGGCCTTCGACAGTGTCAAGGCGTTGAAGGTCGAAAAGGGCAAGCTTGCCGCACAGGCCCAGCCGGGCCACGAGCAGGCACTGGACACGGTCGCCGAGTTGGAGCAGCAGCGAGGGGTGCTGCGCGATGAGAACGAGGCGTTGAGCGAGAAGGTGCTCGAGCTCTCGGCGAGGATCGAGACGATGCAGCTCCAGCACGCGGCCAACGGCCACTCGACAGTCGACGGCCCACACGGCGCCTCGGGGCTCGCGGCCGCTTCGCATCCGGATGAGGATGACGACGTGCCCGCACTCCCGCACGGCCTTCCCGCACCACAAGCATGATCTGACCTGTTTGACGTCGATTTGCAATCTGCGTTACCCACCAGCAAAAAGGGAGGCGCGTGCATGATCGTGAATTGATCCGTTTGTTGCTGAGGCGACCAGCCGCGCTAGGCGCAGCGTCGCGTATGCCGTGCGCTTTGGCCGGGGCGCATCCGCGGCCGAGCGGGATGAAGGTGAGGGTGGGCCGAGGCATGAGCGGGCGAGCATGTGGGCGGCCACATAGCATGCAGTCGCTGTGGACGGCCGTCGAGACGGCGCTCGTTGGGTACGTCCGAGAGCCGCTGTGCGCGTCGTCCTGCCCACGTGCGGCGTGTGCGCAAAGGCCATCGTCTTGTTCGTCGCCACATCACCTCGCGAGGCCAAGCAGTCGCTGTCGGTTAGGTTTTCGCGACTTGTCCTGGCCCGCACCTCGATGCGCTCGTCGGGCATGCTTGCGGTGGTCCGCGTCGACATCCGACGCGCGGCCTTGTTCTTCTTGGTGGCTGGCTCGAATCCACCTTTTAGCTGTGCTGTCGATTCGAGTCGCCACGTGGCTGAGGTACGGTCAAAGGCGTGGCTTCGCTTGGCGAGTCATGTACATCGCTGTTTACCCCACGCCCAGAGATACGAGGGCAAACATCGACGATGAATGGCACCTCACTGCGGTGGTACTGGTACAGCATCTCCTGCATCTGCGAGGTGGACAGATGGTCAAAGTCTAAGCCCTGCGAGCCGTAAAGCGCCATGCAATTCTCGTAGCCGGCGGAAAGGAAGCGATGTTCGGCTTCTTTCGGCGCAAGGTGCAAGCGTACAAAAGCGCTTCCAGCACCAGCTCTTCGATCCACGGATTTGCGACCATCGATCCGGCTCGCTCTCGTCGCTGCTGTCGAGCGGAGAGCCAAGCCCGAAAACGCCGACTCTGCTAGGACGGCACCCGCTCGTGGCGAGCCATCTACCCTCGGACCCGCTCACACCGCAGCCGGAGCCGAGGGAGAAGCAGGCATTGGCGGTCCCACCTTTTGCAGGCTCCTCGCTCGAGGCGGG